TTATAATAGTGATAATAAAAATAATGATAGTGTGTGTATGTGTGTGTGTGTGTGTGTGTGTGTGTGTGTGTGTGTGTGTGTTTATGTGTGTCTGTATTTGAGTCCGTGTGTGTATTCTATGTATACAGAAAGAGACATATATGCTTAGATAGATAGATATTTACAGATATACTCGGTAGGTTTATGTGTGCATATCATTGTATTCCTACACTGATACTGTCATCAAGAATAACACAACATATAGAACGAAACCAAAAAAACGATACCAGAAAAAAAAAATATAAAAAAAAACATTGATAATCAGTCAAAAAGATTACGATTACCAACCTCAAAAAGATTCTCAAAATGGCGAATTGTCAATATGCGTTACGTCGACTATTTTTTTTTTTTCTTTTTTTTGCTTTTTGCTTTCTATTGTTGAACGTAATGACGCCCTTCCTGTAATATTGCGAAAGAGTTGACTCCATCCATCACGCCGCGGGAAATGATCGACTTTGTAACGCTGAAGAAAATGGCGACAATAGGCAAAGCGTCGACTTTGAAATTTCGCGCCAAAAAAAGAAAAGAAAAAGAGAATAATAAAGAAAGAAAGAAAAAATAAAGGGGAGAGAAAAAGAGAAAGTTTGTGAGGGTTAAATCAATGAAGATAATAGCGATGGTGATGATATATGAGCAAAAAAATTATGACGATAATGAATGTGTTGAAAACATTTTATAATCAAGAGCGGTTAAAAATAACAATGAACAATTATAAACCAACTTCATAATAATAATAATGACAACAAAATAATCACTACAACAACAAACAAATATTGTTACGAAAATAAACCCCCCAAAAAAATTCTGAACGACAACGCGAGAAGCAGAAAAAAAATGAAAAAGAAAAAAAAAAAAAAAGTCGACCTTTCACCAGCTGGGCAAAACGTCGACTTTGTGCCTCGGGATAAACATGGTTCTGTAATCTCCCTTTAGCATTGAAGCCTTAACCTCCCCGACGGACCTTCCACGCACCTCTCAACGCCCTGAGGGATCACGTGACTACGAGGGAGGAAAAGGGAGAAGAGAAGAGGAAGGGAGAGGGAGAGAGAAAGAGAGGAAGGGAGAGGAGGGAGGAAAGGGAGAGGGAGAGAGAGAGAAAGAAAGGAAGGGAGAGAAGGGAGGAAAAGGGAGAAGGGAAGAGGAAGGGAGAGGAGGGAGGAAAGGGAGAGAGAGAGAGAAGAAGGGAGATGAGGGAGGAAAGGGAGAGAGAAACAGAGGGGGGAGGAAAGGGAGAGGGAGAGAGAGAAAGAAAGGAAGGGAGAGAAGGGAGGAAAAAGGAGAAGGGAAGAGGAAGGAAAGGAAGAGGGAGAGAGAGAGGAAGGGAGAGGAGGGAGGAAAGGGAGAGAGAGAGAGAGAAAGAGAGGAAGGGAGACGAGGGAGAGAGAGAAAGAAAGGAAGGGAGACGAGGGAGGAAAGGGAGAGAGAGAGAGAAAGAGAGGAAAGAGAGGAGGAGGAGGAGAGCAATTACAAAGAAGGCGCCGGGCACTCCAGCATTAACCTCCCTCCTGAAAACCACTTAAAGTACGGTTTATTTTTCAATAAAAGTACTACACCTATTATACATGGTTCGCTTTTTTTTTTTTTTTTTTTTTTTTTTTTTTTTTTTTTTTTTTTTTTTTTTTACACGCCCCCTCTCTCCCCCCCATCCCACCTCCCATCCTTTTTATTTATTTTTTCCTTTTTTTCTTGGGGGAGGGGGGAGGGGGGAGAGAAAATGACTACGAAGCTTATGGCTCTCTCCCGAGATGCACAAAAATGATTTTGAAATTCAATCTATGAGGGAGCAAAAGGGTGTAAAAATGAAGTGAATATTTATATTATATCTATATAATAAATATAACTTTATATATATATATATATATATATATATATATATATATATATATATATATATATATATATATGTGTGTGTGTGTGTGTGTGTGTGTGTGTGTGTGTGTGTGTATGTGTGTATGTGTGTATGTATATATATATATATATATATATATATATATATATATATATATATATATATATATATATATATATATGCATATATGTATGTATATATATATATATATATATATATATATATATATATATATATATATATATATATATATATATATATATGTGCGTGTGTGTGTGAGTGTATAAACGCACAGACACATAAATATATAATTATGTATACATATATGCATATATATATATATATATATATATATATATATATATATATATATATATATATATATATATATATATATATATATATATATGTATATATGTATATAAATATATATATATATATATATATATATATATATATATATATATATATATATATATATATATATATATATACGTACATAGACAGATAGATAGATGTGTATATGTGTGTGCCAGTGTGTTTGTGTGTGTGTGTGTGTGTGTTTGAGAGAGAGAGAGAGAGAGAGAGAGAGAATGGAGATCCTCTCAAGCTGAAAAGCCCTTTAAACACAGTAATACTTTTATCGGATACTTAAACAGGTAAAAGAGCCCTTTTCACGTGCGTTTGATGAATTGTAAAGTGGCATGTAGAATTTCTTGTCGATGTTGCCCTTTTTATATTTTTCTTATTTATTTATTATCTTTTTTTTTTCTTTTTTATCTTATCCTTGTCTACAAAAGTCCTCTTCCTTCTCCTCCTCTTCCTCTTCTTCCCGCTCTTCCTCTTCCTTCTCTTTATTCCCAGCCCCCTCCTCCTCTTACTTCTCCTCTAATCCGCCTGCTACTCATTTCCCTCTTCCTCTTCCTCCTCTTCCTTCTCCTCTTTCATCTTCGCCTCCTCTTCCTCCTTCTCCCCTCTTCCTTCCCTTTA